CGTGTAGTCTCCATCTGGTAGCCCCCAGCTCCTGAAGACCCCTGCTCCAGGCCCCCATGCCTCATTGTTTGGCGCTGGAAGTCCCCAGGTCGTGTAGTCTCCAGCTGGTAGCCCCCAGCTCCTGAAGACCCCTGCTCCAGGCCCCCATGCCTCGTTGTTTGATGCTGGAAGTACCCAACTCTTGCAGACCCCTGCTCCAAGCTCCCATTTCCTCCAGACAGCTGTTCGAAGCTGTCATCCAGACTGCCCAGGGTAAGGTCGTGAGACCCCAGGTCCTCGTAACTTCGTATCGCTTCCCCAATGACACTGGGCAGCGTGGATTGGGTCTGTCCCTCCTTGTGCTGTTGAGAAATTGATATATACTGTACAATGTTTAAGGATTAAGGTGATTCCAACCAGGGTGTATATGTTGAAATATGTCAGCTCCTATGACCTTAAAATAAATCGTAATGAGTTATTGATTGAGCATCAAATGCACTTGTGACCTGATCATGTCATCATATTGAAACATTTCAAAATATCATTTCTCTATCTTTCTTGTAATCTAAATGAAAATTGATAACACACACGCACACACACACACACACACACACACACACACACACACACACACACATATACAAACAAACAAACAGACACATATTGTAATTGTATAAACGGGTGCTCTGTTCTATTAAAAGGACACTTTTGGCTCGCAAATAATGAAGTTGACATAATATGCATTGATTATCACTGCTGGTACCTGTTTGAGGTTCATTTTTTGCAAAGCTCTCTCGACTGACTCGATGACCGTTGCCTTGCTTGATTCCACTGCAGGGGTTGCTCCGGGACAGTGGATCTGAGTCACCAGTTGTGTGTCGGTGGTGGCAAAGTAGTCCCATACATGGTCCATCTCCTCTTCAAGCTTGGCCATGGACAAACACTGGACACGGGAAATCACACATTCCTTTTTTAAATTTCAACATCATAAAGAACCTATACTGACTGCTAAGTTTACTGCCAACTATTATTTCTCATTCATTTCTCATTCATTTCTCACTGAAACAACTTTGAAAATGTTTACAAATGGCTTTGATTCAGTGGGAGCATTATGTATACACAGTTCCATCACATCAAATAAAAGGAAATTGGGCAGTTGGGCAGGTAACCCAAAACATGGCGTTTCACTTTACTCACCTCGTCTTCATTTCCACTGCATCCACAAGGCGATAAGAGTACTTTGCCAGGCGGATGACATTCTCCCAATGAAGCGTACATTGTTGAGGTGTGTATGCCGTGTTGTCTTGCATCGTGCTCCAACACCCTGTCTGCAATATACTTCATGTTGAGGC